AAAAAAAAAAACAGAAAGTAAACAAGGAATCAGATAATAGACTATAATGATATTAAATTATCACATCGTCAATATCCACCTGTCAACAATTTTCACTGTGAACTTGGTGCAGTATCTGGAAAACTTTAGTAAATTCATAATAAGTTCGCTGAAAGACGAACAATAAAGTTACCTCGGCTATTTATCGGAAGTAGCGGAGCAAACGCTACGGTAGTAGAATGTGCTTAGAAACGCCACATCGTAAAACACAATAACTCGTCATTCCTAATATTATAGTGAACATGAACAGAGGTTGACCCTCGCCTTTTCCAGAAGTTTTAAGGAAAATCTAAAAAATCAGTAATACACGTGTAAACTGTGTTTCTATATGTCAAAATGTGCAATGAGTTGCAGAGAGAGAGTGCAGCTGCACTGCACAAAAAAAGTCAGAAAAGTTCAAAAGCACTGATTCGTAGACAAACTTCACCGCGCGATTTCTTTGAACTCAGATTTAACAAATAAAAATTTCTAACTCACGCTACGAAGCACGGGCTCTGTGAATGCAGTATCAACAACGAAACTTTACAAAACATTACAAAACTAATGTGCCATATGATTTAAGCAAAATCAGGGCAAATCAGTTACGGAAATAATTTCATTAAAAAAGTTATGAACTGAAAGAGGCGCCCGGATGTGCTAACTGAATTATGACCCACAGAACCACCAGTGTTTATTCTGCGGGTAAAGTAGAAAAACGGATAAAGTAATTAAAGGAAGAGTGTCACAAAAATCGAGCCTTTGGCGCTGTTTCATAACATTTACCTAAATGAAACAAATTATTGCGCACAAACAACTGTAGCGTTAATGAACACAAATTGGTAAAAGCGCAGTCAACGAGTAAGTAAAATCACGTCATCCGAAAACCGAATGCTTCCACGAATTGTACAGTAAAATCCTCATTATCGCCACACAGCGGTTCGTTTTGAAATGTTTCACATCTTTCTGACCGACCACGGTTCAAATCAGCATCCAGCCAGAGGCCATAGTGTCCACCACCTGCACCCACTGACAATGAATCTCTGCTTGCTTTTACAAATAACTGATTTTGACCACTCCACGGATATGTGCGCAGCTCCCTGGAATATTATCCAAGAAGATTTAAGGTAATTTTACCAAGAAATCAAGAAATTGGCGATTAAATTTTGTCTCTTGCTAAACGAATTTTCATTAGTCAAGCTTCCGAAAATTAGACATGACAGACAGTAGTGCATTTTCCAAACTGGAATATTCCGACTGGAGGTAGAGACGAAAAAATAAGAGTTCGTTAAGTAAACAAAACATATACAAATAAATGCCAAAAATGGAAATGACAAACTTCTCGTTAGTTTCGGAATCGTTCACGAATCTGTACAACAAACAAGAATCGCCTGTTCCGAAAAAATGATCGGACGGCCGAAGGGTTGTACTCGCGATCGCTCCAAAGACGTTGTCGTTGCAGTCGCGAATGACCAACAATATGGGCGACATTTCCTCATCCCAGTCGATCATTTTCCTGAAAATTTGATTCATTTGTTGCTGCGAAATGAATCGCCTTGATTTTAATAAATCCTTGTTTTTTTGTGACTGTCAAAAAGTTATTAAGATTCTACGGCGCAAACATGTAAGGAAACAAACCTATAAAAGGTATGCAGTGAGAAGCCATGCTTTTCGGAACTGTAAATGTTGATCCAAGGATAACCCGCAGCACGTGCTGGCAGAATTTCCACCATCTAAGATGACTCACATTATGACTGATTAACTTGACTTATTTCACCAATTTCTATTCTGTGAGAACAAGTGGCGGTCACATATCACCCAGTTCCACCTGCGAGAAGAAAAGTGGACGGCCCTAGAACAGCTCGCTTGCTTTAAATCCAACAGATAATGCTTGAAGCCAAATAGCCAAGATGATAAAAACCTGACACAATTGCTTAGGGTGTGAAACTACATTTCAGCAATGCAAACTGACAAAGCAACCTCAATTCACTGACTTCTCAGACTTCACATCTCTACATTTCAGATCTTGAAAAAACATCTGGGAATCCAAGGTCGCCCCGCTTTTACGAATACCATTGTAGAGCAGAAATGCTGCTGTGTGGATTGCCCCTCACTCATGAATTGTTCGCAGCGCATGTTTCATAAAGCCAAAACTGATTGGTAAATCGTTAAAAAACAGCACGCAATTTATGTCATCGTTAAACTAATTTAATTCTCAATAAGCAGATACAGTACCTTGCCTCAAATTTTCAGAAAAAGGTGACGCTCAGGTACAATTGTTTCCTTTGACCGCTCTCAATGAAAAGATGCCTCAGAAGCTTAGAATTTCCTCAACAAAAAAACGTGTTGACTAAGCTGATGATGTAGTAATGTTCCCGGTCATCCTTCGTCACAGGACGCAGATATTAAAACTGATCGTTAAACACGTAAGCCTGCGAAATACCGTGGGATAAATTATCACGAACCTGTCCAAGCATAGCTTCATCGAGGATCTGTGAGGAAGTGGCGCCATCCGGGAGTGGCAAAGCAACCTTGTCCAGCTGGTCCAGCGATAACCGCCGACACATCTCCTGCACCGAGACAATTTCCCATTCTCGATTAAGATAACTGCTACCAAACAAACGCGGTGATGGTTTATCACCTGAAAATTTCTCCCACTAATGTTGCTGTGCGTTTGCTAGTTGTAGCTTAAAAATTATTAAACAGCAATCAATTCTGAGTCTACAGAATTACTCCTTTTTCTTTAAAACAACTGCCCTTTGAAATAAAAAAGCACTGCCTTTCTTCAGGAAAAAAAGCAAAACGATGACTGCCAAGCAACAAGTAAACCATGCATCCAAAGAGAACTAAATATAAATCAAAATTTTAAAAAAAACACACACACA